ATAGTCATATGTGCATGCAATCCTTTTGCAAATTAATGAAGGCTTATGTTCACCCCAAAATGAAAAATATACAGACGCTTTTGCGTTATCTAATACGTTGAAAGTTAACTTACTAAAGATTTTCTCAGTACACTTCCTCAGTTTGCTGATCATGACCTAAAGATATACTTAAAATTCAGTCGAATTTAAAATCTGTCTAGGCAAAATTAAAATTTTAATTATGACCAGGCAGATGTTAAATTTGCGTACAACACATATATCTAAAATATATGTCTAGAGCATTGCTTTCAATTCAAAACTTTGAAAGATTTCAAATCTGTTTATACATATCAATTTGGGTTTTATACAGAAATGTTTAAGTCAGAGAGCATTTTCACTTCTCATAAATACCGTAACGGTTCGGTACGAAGACCCTTTCGCTGTGTGTCGAAGAACAAACAACTTTAGATTTGAATATTATCAAAAGCATTTCAGAGTATTGATATGAAATCCAAAATTTCTTTGTGCTACGCTAAAAGCATCACATATGGCCGAAATGACCTTCTGAGACGGGCAGAATTAAAAGGTCATTCCGACCATATGGTTTGGAATAAGTAATAATGCAAAAAAGCTTCTGTAATCTTACAGATTTGTTTCTGATCGTGGAATGAAAACAGGTTTCGTATCGACTTCTCGATTAATTTCACAATACTAAATAATTAGTTTTCTAGCAGAACGGCTGTAATTCGATTTTGTCTGTCATATATCTGAAGACAGAGCGATAGGTGAAGGTCTCCTTATTAACTGATTGATTTCGGTTTTACCAGTGACGCAACTACGACGGAATCGTTGGACTAGGACTAAAAAACATTGTGATTTTAAGAGCAAAAATTCTTGCTCAGTGATCTTCTCTTTAAATATTTGTTTCCACATACCATAAACTATATGGTTATCTGATTTTGCTGAAATGGTTTAATAATTTGTTTAAAATTCTCAAATATTATCTCGTTAAACTTAATCGTTTAATGCTATTTACTATCTTTATTTGAAAAGAATTCGTGTGTAGTGCATCAGAAATATCATCAAATGGTCGAGATATGATTCTGAGTCGAAGATCTAAACGTCTTGGTGTTATGGGTATTGTGTCTAACAGATAAACGTAATGGTAAATAAAACACATCCGAAGATCAATTTTTATTTGAGACAAATGTGATAAATGTGCGAGTTGTATGAAATTACGATCGGCTGGATGAATGTGGTAGTCAGTGGATAAAGAACGAGGCGTAGATGATATTATATCATAATTCACCACTAATTCTACTTGTCGATCATCTGATGAGCGTTTTACAGATAAATGAGATAAGTTATTAATAAATGATAACTGTGAAAGAATTCTATCAATGTCAACATTCGTCGGATCAATAAGTTACAGACTGGCGATTTTCAAATGTAGCTAACTGGAATCTATTCAGGAAAAGCTGAATTTGTCCATTTCACAATGTTAAAGAGTAAACATTGAAAGAACGATTTGCAATTTTTGGGGCTCGAGAAAGAAAGGGTAGGATAAATAAAATAAATTGAGCGATCGAAATTCTCCGATGAGACAGTCGAATCAGGCGTTTAACTTGTAAAATGCGGAAATTGCGTACCGAGCTCTAACAAATGGTTGTACTGGACCGTGGACTCAGTCCAGTCCGTATGAAGCTCTGGTGCTCACGACTTTTTCTGTTTACTAAACTTGAACACGTAAGGTGGTACTCTTCAACAGGTCTGTAAGTAATATGTGTAAGTTTTCAATTTTTACAATATAAAGACCGAACGGATTTTGATTAATTTCAGTGCTTAAAGATTTTGAGCGATGCTCTGTTCGATGGCTAATGCGAAATAATTTTAAAAGTGCCAAGAGTAAGGATTTCAGAAAACCAAGGTTTTTCACTCATCCATTTACATAAAATAATTTATTTTTGATTCTTTCTTCGTCTGCTCAGAACCGAATTACTTTTTATATAGAAAGATAGAGAAATTTTCGCGCTACAAAAGGAGACGTTGCAAAGCTCTGAGCGATGTTTTTTCATGAAACAGCATTCAGTTTATAAAACGGCATGGGGGAATGCGTTTCTCGTTCTGCCGATAATTTTGCTGGTATGCGTCCTTTTGTAAATTGAGTGCTGTTTCATGAAAACGTATCACACAGAGTGTGACGACGTCTCTTTTGTTTAGAAATGTGTGTTTTACATGACCGGATGATTTACAAAGCATTTCCTGATCGCATTCCGGGATTTAGTTTTCTGACATTTTGGTTTTTCAAACATCCTGGCTTTAGAAATTTTGATAGAAGCTTCACATATATCACATCAGCTTGGCAATTCTTTCGGTTATTTAAAACTTTTTTCAGATTTTTTTCTTTCTTATATGTTGAGAAGAAATACATAAAACACATCGTTTCAATAATTTTGTCAAGCGGGAGCTCTAACCGTCCGGTTAACTGGACCCTCCAACCACCCTGTTAACCTATTTGATAACTAACCTCTTATTAAATATATTTCGTCTTCGGAGCTAGCTTAACCGGTCGGTTAATTGGGCGGTTAATCTATCTGTCAACCTCCGGCTCTTACTCGATTATGATAACCTAGTGCTCGGTTCACTACTAGGTTGGAGCTAGCTAACTAGATAAAAAGGTATATTTACCTAGGTCCATCAAGTGAATAGCTGTCCGGTTAGAGCTAGATTCTCGCCGTAGAGCATTTTTGTTTGGGACATGCCACACGAATAACAACAATGATCTTGACTGTCAAAATCGATGATTTCAATACAAGTCCTCAGCCAATCACATTGGCAAGAAGAGAACCCAAGCGCACATTAGGTCATTTATCAATATGTCAGCAATGCAGACGGAAATAGTTGTTCTAGTAATATTCTTCATTTTTAAGAAAAGAACGAAACCAGTGAATGTTAAACTTAAAATAATCTAACACATTCTCTTCTCTAGTAATCAGTAATAACAAAATGATATTATTAGTCGTCATAGAAATATCTTTCAAACGAGTAAAGTGGTAATAGTAATAATTGCATACATCTGTTAGAGAAATCTTCGGGCTATTCAAATAGTATTCTGATTTGTTCCAACTTTTGACGAAAATCAAAAACAAAGGAGTTCTTATGATTATGGCACACTGTGCTGCATATATAGGACTCAAACGCTTCTTTTGCATATCTTTAATGACTGGCTCCACCTGTCTAGATTTTCTGACCAGCTCAGCTGGTAGAGACTTTCACGGGCTATCCAGTATTATTCTCTTGAAAAATATATAGTTTTTCATTAAGACAGAAAAATGAATGCTTATGCCGACCATTTACTTTGACTTTGGTCGCAAAACTTTCTGTAGCAAACTTGCTTATCCCAAACTTTTGACGGTGAACCCAGATAGTACACTGGAAGTACTATCTACTGCAAGTATCTCGACCATGCAAATGTTTCAAAGATGATAATTTTTCAGAAGTGGCTCGCTACTTGCTCTTTAATTTTTGAAAATATCTTTGAGTTTGAGTGAAAGCCTCGATTTCTAGACCAAAAATTGATGTTGTGCAGGAATCATCAAAAATGGACTATCATTTTTTGACGCTCTCAGAATATGTATGACATCAAAGTTGTAACATGAAGCCAGATGCATCTGAAGAATGAAAAGAAAATCTAAGACATAACTATAAAAATGTGCCGTGTAGGAATTACGTGTTAGGAGATGACCACTACTTTTCATTTGTTATCTCCAAGTTAGTATTTTCTACACGTGTTCTTATTAGATGCTATGTGTAAAATAACCGATGAATCCAAGCTTTTACCTTTGAAAAAAGAAAAGCACAATAATCCATGTGCCACCTATTGTGAAGTGAACTAAAGTTGGATTTTTTGAGCGATACTTCATTTTAAATATAAGGAAAAACTCTATAAATTGATTGTCTCAAATATTTTCAACAGTTTACATTTTCATGTTGATAAATGCAATTTTGGCAACAGTCACGTTGATTATTCATCACCAAACAATTAAACTGAAAGAATGTACAGAATAAATGACGGTTTTCAGTTGTTAAACAAGTATAGTAAACAATCTCCATTAATCCATTAGTTTTTTGTTTTATTCTTCCTTCAACTTCAAAAGAAAGGAAAAAACACAAAAGGACACACGGAGAGAATTTATAAATAGTGTCAACTTTCATGAGAACAAGAAGCAATCCTACAATACTGTTAAAACTTTATTAGCACTGACAACCATATTCTAGCTGCATCGAAAAAGTAAGTAAAGCTCAGCTTAACAGATATTTACAGGGTTAGCGGGTAACATGAAAGATCTCTGTGCTGCCGGACAGGACGCGGAAACGAGTTCAAGAACTCATAGATTTGACAATTTACCAAACAGTCACATGGTGAGACAAAGTCGAGGACTGAAAAACGTAGTGAGGGTGAGGGGTGAGGATACGGGTGAGGGTGAATGTGAGATGAGTAAGCACTACTGCTAGTATTAGAATGAAAGAATTTTTTATTATTTGTTGAATTTCCTTCATTCCTATTGTCCTGTTTTTCTTTGCTTTGAGAAATTTTTAATCTTTTTCTACTATAAAGCAATCCACTACGCGTTGCGGTCTTGCTTAAGGGCCTCATCAGGTGGATTATTGAGCTTTTTTGTTCAATATTGGCACAAGCAAACAATATGACTTCTTCTCTTGCTCAATTGAGAAATGGTCATCGTCCTTAAGTTCATATTCTTATAGGAGAATCACATTTTTCTCGATGTACAACTATGAATTTCAGTACTGGAATGGTGTTTATTATCCTTCCAATCTGTTATTTACCGAATTCAACACGAACAATGTTGTTCTAATATCAGTCCGATGGTCCGAAGGACTATCTTGGTTATGTGTTGAGCTTGATGCTAGGTGCATGATGCTAAGAGTGAGCACAAATGGAACAACGTCATGGTCGCCTGCTCGAGAGCAGCCGAGTGATGATGATGATGATGACAACGCTAAATCACCATCCAATAATGGTGAATATAAAAGTAATGTGATTTGGACATTGGTAGATTTATCAAACGAATGTCTTCTTCAGTGAGATCAGATGAATCTTCAAAAACCGTTGGTTTTGAATCGAAGATGTTAATAGGTTCATTTGAAGCAATGTTCATTTCGAACTTTTGTACTTTTCCTTTTGTAAATCCACATCTCTCGTAGAATGCACAGGCTAATTTCATGCCGGATGATGTTGCTAAAGGAATCGCTCTGTAGCCATTTGATCGACTAAATTCTATCAATGTTTGGAGCAACCTAAAACCTATTCGTTGCTTTTGATATTTGGATATAACAGCCATACGACGCAATTCACTATCTGATGTGGGTGTACGTTTGAATAACGTGGAGTTATTAATTGCTCTTGATAACATTGTTGGTCGCATGCGACCAGAGGTTTAATATCAACTTGTCCAACAATTATATCTCCACCCACCAATGTCCACCTTTAAAATTCATATAATTTTTTTCTATATCATCCATATCAGCCTGGATTACGTATTGCTCGAGCATTTTTCTTCATGTCCATAGTCTTTAAAAACACTGCGTGTGACGATTTTACATTGTTCTAAATCATTTGGCTGGAATGAACGGATTATTACATTATCAGTTGACATTGTCTGAAAACAAACAGTGCTATAATGCAATAAAGAGCCTTGCCTTTATTATGGCTAAACGATCAAATAGTTCGGGCTATCATGTCTGGTCTTAGTCGCTTTTTCCGGACTAAAAGTATAGCGTGAAATGCAGAGTTAGAATCCTATCAGTTTTTCTGCCTTCATCATCGTTATATTACCCACAGTTTACACTTCTCCTGGTGATGATTTAAACCCATACTGCGGAATCGCAAAAGATGCTCACGATGAAGTTATGCATGGAAAGGTGCATGCAGAAAGTTTACACCACAAAACTTGCGCACAGCGAATCTTGTGTAGGGGTGTAGTAAACTCCTGCACGGATCGGAAGACCATCCCGAAGAGAACAGAATTGGAGTTCGGAAGGAAATGTAAAGTGACTTTTCCGAAAAACATTTTCAATGTGCGAAACAATAATACAGGGCCATGAGCTTTTATTCAGAAGAACGAGAGATTGAATTCTACTACTTACTTGAGTAATTAAGGGGAAATTAATGTTGCCTTTGACAGAAGCGTAATTCTCCAGTTCGAATTGTTCAGCGCGCGAATATTTTGGGACTGACTTTTTAAAGTCGCACGCTGAACAAGAGTAGAAAAATCGCGCAGTATTTAAGACAATCCTCCGGATTTCTCGTTTTTGTCTGTGAGAATATCTTAAACTCTGTGTACGCGTTTAACCATTTTTCAGTAGGCAGTTCAGAACTAATCGCTTACTTTATTACATACTCATATTGGTTTCAAATTTATCGCTTTTCGATGTTACGAGTATTGACCTTGCATAATAAATGAGAAAAACACTAATAACGAATATGTCATATGCAATGAACAAAACGTATTTACCTTTTTTATTTCGCAATAAAAATTAAGTACATGCGTTAAGTACATGCGATTTAAGTGATACCGATGATGATGGGGAGAGGAAAGTTTGATTAAGAGCGTGTACCATTTGTAACTCAATCGCAATTGTTTCTGTCACTAAGCTATGATAAATATCATTGAATGCTTCAAGGCACATACCGGTTAGATAACAAAACGCCGTAGCGTGTGAGTGCCAATTCAGAGTAGAAATTACTTAATGAAAGTGTTGTTGTCTTTGACAGCAGCAGAATTCTTCAATACGCGAATATTCTCCGACTGAGTTTTTACAACTACAGTTTACCAAGAATACTCATAGTTTAAGTAAGTTGTTTTATAGCTTTATTCTGTCAGAATACAAGCGGAAGAATATTCCATTATAGTATTCTAAACTAAAACTATCGAAAAACACAAAATCAATTTTTGTACGAACAGAGATTCGAACATGTGAACTTAGCTTTGTAGTAAACTACAAAACTAAATTCACCGTTCTGTATCTATATTCTGTACAACGATTGAAGTTGTGCATCGATTCGATGGTATCAGTAGTATTTTTTTTGGTATACTTTTTGTGTTCTGTTTCTTAAGTAAGTTGTTGAGACCACAGACATACAGAACAAATATTGCTTTCTTTTTAGGTTTTTCCATGATATAGACAGCCAGATGGACAATCCTGACCTATAATATCGAGAAACGTACATGAGATGATTTTGTCTTTCTTTTAAGTCCTATAGCAAACAAAATGGCCTTTTTGCACTTGTATTGCATAACCGCGCGCATGTGGCAGCGCACATGTGTCATAAGATCCGCCATGACCGATAACCTCTAGGAAAATATCAGCAAATTATTTAACGCTGAAGCAGTTTTCAACAAAAGGAACAGAATACAAGCAGTACAAGAATATCAGTTCAAAAAATAAATGTAGACCTAATCGTCCACCCAGGAGCGCCAAAATGTAAGCTATCTGTCGCTTTAAACCCAGAAAACTGGTGCTCCGTCTCTCCAAAAGGGGCGAAGGCGGAAATGATACTGAGTTCAAGGCGAAAATCACGGGTCTACAAAGGATCAGAACGTTACACTAAAATTACTCACCACGTTGTTTGAATATTGTTTTGTTTTTTACTTTATTTTTGTAAGATAAGAAAAACTGTACTACCACGAATCGTTTTATATATATACTGCAGTATATGTACCGAAATACGAGATATATATATATGTACTAAACGATATATGTATATATATATGAGGGTGTACTAAAAAAATGTGGACCGAAATAATCACACATGTAAACATAGAAAGAACAAACTGGATGATGTTCAATAAGAAGAACAAGAACAAAAACAAAAATGTGGAAGACGCGAGGCGAGAAACGCGATGTATACGCACGACGACAAAAATGAGAAACGAATAAATGCAAATGAGAAAATGTGAGTGATGTCAGTCGTGATTAGCAGCATCTATAAAGTATGACGCTAACAATCTGTAACTGATCTCTTTCTTTCTTTCTTTCCTTTCTCTTCTTATCAATATCGACAACACAGGTCGAGTTTCTTGTTCTATGTCTATAAAAAACAGAAGCATAATTTAAAAATCGGACTCTGTCAACTTCTTACTATAGGTGTTATCTACGAATCAAAAAAAAAATTTTTTTCTCCGATTCTTTACCCTCACCACCCTCACCCTCACATATACTTCAGTATATATATAAAACGATTTGTGATAGTACAGTTTTTCGTATCTTACAAAAATAAAGTAAAAACAAAACAATATTCAAACAACGCGGTGAGTGATTTTAGTGTAGCGTTCTGATCCTTTGTAGGCCCGTGATTTTTGAAAAGAAAATATTCCATTTGCATTTATTACTTGTTTACTTACACTGCACGCAGTCATAAAATATACCTATCCTGAAAAAATTGCGGTTTCATTTCTTTTCGTTCACAAGAAAAACGAAATTTACGTTTTTCACGCGCATAGCTTCTCGAACTTTACTCCAGTCGAAAAAATTTCATACCTACAGAACGAAAAGTTCCGGAAGCTTACAAATTTGAATTTTTACGTTTTCGACCATGCTCTACAAGATGAGGCTACTTGGAAAAAAAACTGAAATAGACATTGAGCTTGGCTTGTCGTGGCTCTTTAAGGGAGTCCTCATTTTAAAAGATGTGTCAGTCAGTCAACAATAACCATAGAAAAGTCATTCGTGCATTTCTGGATAGCCTATGATATGATGAAAAAAGTTTTAAAAAACGTTTTTTTAAGACAATAATTTATAATTAATCAATGTTAATGAATACTAATTAATCACTCTGTGCCGTACCCTTTTATTTGCAAATTATCGGCTTATTGGAAACGGTGAAGCAATACGCCATTCGACAGAGAGTTCCAAGCGCTAGAAATCTCTGTATTTGTCTTTTCAAAATGTTACCGATAAGCGTTGTTTGTACTCGGTTTTAGGCAAATGGGGACTCTATTATGCATTTCTAAATGGAGCGGTCATTTTCTAGAACAACTCAAGAACAAAACGAGATAGAGAGTTCGGGTTTTCAGCATTTTGTAGACAAGGCTTTACTCTATCTCAAATATGTTTTGTGCTCAAAATCTCGATTTTTCAGGCGGTGTACCTAGTGGATGAAAAGGGATGAGGTTGTCAGATTCCGAACCTGCGAAAAAACCTATTATTTTACCTATCGATATGATGTTAGGAAGCCGACGTAGACCATAACCGTATTATAACACCAGTCTCTACAACGTATGAAATGTCTTATTCAAGCGTTTCAGTCTTCCTTTTCTCGCCACAGAAACATTTCTTTATTGGAACTCAACATAGATTGTACAAATGAATTCCTGATGCATACCTGCAACTTGCAAAGGATACTACTGACGAGGGAACCTCCCGGGGTGATAAATCGCTTCTTGATCGACATCTGGTGAGTTATAGGTAATCAATCATGCTGATTCCGAATATGACCATGGGGCTTCCCCATAGCTCTTCGAAGATCCAATCTTCTGGAAAACCAGTTTTTCAGAAACCCCAAAAAATAACCCAAGCCTTTCTTAACAATTTAGGATTGTAGCACACAAATTTCTGATTAAAATGAAACATCCCCCAGCTCTACACGACTTTTCTTTGCAAAGTTATAGAATTATAAGAAGAGCCCTAAATTGTTCACTGCCAGCTCAAAGCTACAGAAATAAGAAGGAAAAAATTAATTTAGGGCTCTTCTTATAAATTCTATAACTTTGCAAAGAAAGGTCGTGTAGAGCTGGGGGATGTTTCATTTTAATCAGAAATTTGCGGGCTACAATCCTGCATTATTAGGAAAGGCTTAGGTTATTTTTTGAGGTTTCTGAAATAGTGGTTTTCTAGAAGACTGGATCTTCGAAGAGCTATGGGGAAGCCTCGTGGTCATATTCGGAATCAGCATGGTCCATAACCTATAACCCACTAGATGTCGGTCAAAAAGCGATTTATCACCTGGGGAAGTTCCCTCATGAGTGTATCATATAATACACTGAAATATAATTGCTGTGTAATGGAAATAATATAGTGCAGAGGGGAGTGATAGAATTATTACCAATGAGAGACGAGTGTTCATGAGTACAGCGTTTATTGATAACAACAGAGTTGCGACATCTGTTTGTAAGTGAAGCGCACATTTGAGTACAAATGCGCTGAGTAATAAAAGAAACAAGATTCCTCTTTTGTGGAGATTTTTCTCCGCTACAAAATCTACGCTTTAGATTTTTCAAATTCCAAATAGACAACTAATTTATTTTATTGTTACAGTATATTTTCAGAAGGACTTTCATACTTTGTTTTATTGCCATTGCGTGACTCTTTCTCAAAACTCTTTGCTCCCAAAAAATAAAATGACTTTGTTTTTTATTACAAATATCTGCGATGCTGGAGTAAAATCTTTTTGTACTCGTAAGGCGCTCCATATTCGAAGTTACACCACTATTTTATTTTTGACATCATTATACACCATTCGATAGAGCTCATCGACCTGATCAAGAAAAAGTAGTTTTTAGCTTCACTAGTGTACTTCAGTGGAAAAAAATTTAAACAACTTTAGGTAGCCAAAATTACGAAAATGGCGAAATTTTCAATAAAACTTCTAAAGATAATTCAGCATCTAAACTACGACAAACAATTTAAAAAATAGGTTCTAGTGACAAAAGTGCGATCTAGTCTAGCCAATGGCACCGCTGCTCCCCCAGAGGCTTACCCTTTTAGGAAGCCCTTTTAACACTAACGCAAGTGTAGTCCATTACAAAGAGCTCGTTCACGCCGAAAAATGAAGTAAAGAACCACAGCACATATTAGGAACGATCACGATTGAGTCAAAGTCGAATATTGCCTCCTGGTCCTGTTGCGTTTCGAACCATGAACCAAGATACAGCTGTTGGCAAAGAAAATTGCCCTCATAATTTATTTCACTGCTGTTTGAATGAATGAATTTCATACATAATGAGACCTTCCTGAAGCCTCTAGTATGTTCAAAAGGCTCAGTACGTTCTGGTAAACTATCAAAGCTGTTACATCCTCATTCTCAAAAAACAAATTTACACCATGTAAACATTCAATAGATAACTGTGGTGTTAAACAGGAAATTGTTCTCTAAATAGCCAGACTAATTGGGCACTAACAGTGTAGTTCTACGTGAGGAGATTTACTGCAGTCAACCACTTGCGTTTTTCGTCAGTAATTTCATCATTAGTTCATGATTAATTGACCCAAGACCGGTGACAGGATCGTATCCCTTTTGTGCTTCAAAACCATACTGACAGCATGACTGACGATTACAATTGTTTTTGCCTGTAACAATATCGTAGAATACTCCTGGATTTGTTTTTGCTAATCGATAAAGTAAGGGATTTAAAAAACCCAATGGCTTCATACCAAGTTTTAATCTTTGATCATTAATTAAACTGAACAGACCAGCAATGGCTGGACTGCTGGCTGATGTACCTAAAAAGTCAAACAAAGTTTTATCATACTCAAGAACGATCGTTCTTTATACATACCATCGACAACATAATCAGTGTTACTCTGTTTATACCTGTAACCGTGTGCAAGTAGACTGATATCAGGATATGCACGATTACTTTTGTTAAAATATGTTGATGGTGGTAGACGTTTACCGGCAGAAGTCAAATAATTCTGAACAAATGGCTTTTGCCAGGTTGGTGTTGAATGATATTCAGAAAATCCACCACCAGATGTTATGAGACAATTTGTCAAGGCATTCTTATAAGCAACAATTTCTTCAAGACATATGCCACTCTCTTGTGATATGTATCGACAACTACCGTTAACACCATGAATCAACTGTGTGCCTCCAACACTTGTGATATAAGGTGATGAACTCGCATATACCGGGCCAAACCGTTTTGGACAAGCTCCAGACTGAGCCCATACTCCATTATCACCTGAAGCAGCAAAAACCGTCTTTCCCGAGACCCCCATCTTCATAAAGTTTATATCAATCATACGAACACCTTTTGCTCCATGTGCTCTTTCGTCAGTAGCATAACTTATGGAATAAACGAGTGGAACAACATTACGCTTATTTGACTCCAACATCGCTAATGTGGCGAAAAATTGTGTGAAATCATAATCGTAAGTGCTACCTGAAATATAATCTGTTACGATACCGGCACCCATTGCTGCCATATATTCCATGTCCAACGATGTTTCATTCTCATGATACGATTTATTCTTATAATCAGTTCCATAGACTTTACCAATCTTTAAATTGAAGTTTTTCCCAAAGCTTTGCGCAAATGCTGTGAACGATTTTAAATTATAATAATTTGAAAACCCAACAACAGCTTGTCTACTCTTAGCATGACGTTTCTGTTTAAGTGTACTCGTGTTGACATTATACAGTGATGACAGAAGCGATGGTGTTACTTTAGATACTTCTTCAAATTCCTTGCTGACTGAAGCAGAATAACTTGTCTGGCCATTCTCAACAAATTTTGATTGAATAGAAATTTTATTCTGCTGGTATTTGCGAATATTAAATGTGAGAACAAAACGACAGAACACAATATACTGCAAAGTGTAAAACCTGCAGTTGGCGTTCGCCAATGACACAGTTTGACTTGTTGTTGATCCGAGAGTTCGTAAAGTGACCTTGTAGCCTTCAAATTCTGGACATATGATAGCATATGCTATTTTGCCATTTGAACATTTTAATTCAATAAAAAACTCAATGTTTTTTTCATTTGGCGTAAGAGATATTATGATAGGGGCATTTGATTGTGCCTTATTGGCTAATGGATGCTTCGGTACAGCTGTGTTTAGTAGAACTGGAAATTTACTTAATCCTTCAATGTGTTCAATATGGTCAGAAACAATGCTTGGTATTTGAAATTGCTTCGTTTTCAATGTTAGTTGTCCACTGATGCGATGCTGATAAGTGTCTAAGGTCGTCTGAAATATCTGTTCAATTAGATGAACCAGTGACTGACTGCTTATTGGGTGACCTCAAGCAAGTGGATTCGATGCTTAGTTGTATAGCTATTATCAACGTTTTATTGAACAACGTGTAGTGTAAAATGGCTTTATTTCTGAATACGCGATATATGAACAAGTAATGGTGATTGTACAATCAAAAACTCTTTATGAGTAGTCGATCTGATACTAAGTCCATCATATTTCCGTAACCACTTTTCGACTATTATACCACTTTTTGTTGTTTCATCGAGTAACTGTTGATGTATTTCATCATAGGTCAAAAAGTTGCCGTAATCAGCATGAGCTGGATCGCTTACTTGTTGGAACTTTCGTTCTAAATGTGAAACTTGTCTATCATTATGTTTAATGACAAAAATCAGTGGAATATTCTGAGTTCGTCTCGATTTTGCATCAGCTAATAACTTCCAATACTCATGAGGTACATCCACCACGACCGACGTTCCCTTCATCGAATTTGCATAATTGAATACAGGTATCACTAATACATATAGACAGAGAGAGAGTGGTGATGTGATCCTCATCATTTCGTGCTGCGTAACTATCGGTAAAAATGATGCAGTCTGCGTATATTATGTATACGAGAGACTACTATGCCCGAAAAGATGAGTAACGGAATTGCTTATCGACGAAAAGAACCGGTCAATATATCCTTTAACTAAAGGATATTTATAGGTGAATATTGAGAAACACATTATTTTTTCTTTATGCATGAAAAATGTACTCTGTTAACGCGCATGACTTCACCCAAATGATGTGAGAGAAAGAAAGAAATACTTGAAAATGCAATATCTGTCTACATGAAGATAATTTCAATGATAATAGAATACGAGCACTCCGAAAAACTTACTCAGACGAAGGTTATATCTGCGCATATGAAACGGTATTTTCATTTCATTCATTTATCTTCTATGATCTAAACGAACACGCTCTTAAACAAAATGCTCTCCAAATTATTTTATTATTCCAGGAAGTAACTACTCTCTACTTTCACTATTGACAAGTCCAGGATGACAGCGGGCTCATCAGAAGTATCACGATAAATAATGACTAAACAAGAAAAGTCCAAAGCAGACAACAGTTTGAAAGACACTTACAGACTGATTGTGTTACTGATATTTAGATAATGTAAAACTGTCATTTCTACTTATTCTTTTGTGCTTCCCGATCGATAGAAGTTTATTCAATTCATCAGCTCCCAATCCAAGGGGTTGACTTATCATTGCTTTTTGGCAAAAAAAAAATCGATACGAATATCGGATTTGAGTTACCGTCGGATATTTCCCACTTAAAGCTCCACTATAACTAACACTTATGCCAGTTTTTCCACTGTTATTAGTGGCGACTGTTCAATATAAAATCGAACTTTATTATTATCAGATGTGGCAGTATTAAACTGATGAGAAAACGAAGCAGCGGAATCTTGAGACGATTGAAATGATGATATACCTGTTAGACAGTGGTTGGGATCACTGCTTACCAGATTTGACTTGTGTGCCCTTAAACAATCCCTCTCTTTTTTGGTCGATTTATATATTTTAAATGAACAGAACACTGAATCACAGACCGATGGACACAGCAAAAAAACTAAAAGCTGAAGAAAACACACACTACATATTTATGGATGAGAGTAGAGACTATACTCTGAAAAAAGTCGTAGATTAATAAACTATCAAAAAGAGTTTTTTAAGACCAATAAACCTTTTTAAAAAACGCTTTCCGTTTTTTATATCCAAAAAACTAAAAAGCGCTCGTGACAGATGCAAAATTTTTTCAGTCTTTTGGATGTGAAAAACGGAAAAGCGTTTTTTAAAAAGGTTTATTGATCTTAAAAAACTCTTTTTGATAGTTTATTAATCTACAACTTTTTTTTAGAGTGTAGAACACGAGAGAAAAGAAAACAAACGAACTAGGCACTGGAAATGTGTCCATGTGGCCTATGACTAAGAAAGGAAGACAACAAATGAATATGAGTGATTCTGATCAATTTGGTACCATTTTTTTTAAAAGTTGACCCCCACAAAAAGTAAACGCTCGAGGGTTTCGGCACCATATATTGAGAGTAGGTGCTTATCAGCCTTACGAGGGAACCATCCGAGGTTATAAATCGATTTCGGGTTGGGACTATTTTTGGTGGAAAGGCCCTAACGAGTAATGAAATACCTCAACTTGGTTCATGCCCACGGTGCTTTGTTGCTGAGATACTGAATTTTTAGTCACTTTTTGCCTATAGAGCTTGGATTTTGAGCAAAATTCAACTTCTGAATTATGATTTCAAACTTGTCATACTTATAGCCCATGCTCATAGTAGTACGACGGAAAAATATTTGATGTTAATGAATTTTTCTGCCTTGAGATATCGAGACTCGAATATTTACCTCTCAGCCTTGCCTTATGGTGAAATATTCGAGTCTCAATATCTCAAGGCAGGAAAATTCATTAGCATCGAATATTTTTCCGTTGTACTGTTATGACCATGGGCTACAAGTGTGACAAGTTTGAAATCAAAATTCAAAAGTCGGATTTTGCTCGAAATCCAAGCTCTATAGGCAAAAACTGACTAAAAATATCTTTTTTAAATTTCTCTTGTATAAAGTAATTCTAATCGTTCGTATTTTTGTTCAATTACTACGCCCCAAACCGCACATATAATGAAAAAGAACGGCTTTCTCAACATTAGTAGAGACAGGGCATAGGGTGGGAGGGCACGGGACAAACGTTGATCAAACGTCAGTCTCAGATAGTAATTTGTCCACTACTTCCGAATGGAGAGGAATTGAAACCTCGGTTCCCGGTGATGTCGATCGAATACCTGTGCATATTTATTGCCCCATCAATAAAATGAAAATCAAAGTACTTACAAGTTCTCTAGAGTACCTAGGTGGTGACGGGACAATTTAAATGAGCTTTTCTGTACCACGCATTTGAAATGAACGTCTGCAAAAACAAAGCAAGTGAAAAGACAGCTCATAGTATAAATGAATAGAGCCAACAAAATGCTATAAGAAACAAAAAAAACTATGTAATTCTACAGCAAAAGACTAAAGAAAAAATAGTTTTACGAAAGAGAACACGTGAGAGCCGCCATGAAAATAACGACAAAAAACATATGATTATGTTTACTGTACGTCAACGGTTATGAGTATGAAAGAGATATTAGCGGTGAATACAGGCATAATATCGCAGAATATGTATTTTTTGATCCTCTGGGAAACCGGGAAGCCGCCGTCGGATCGATGTGAAATTTATACCAGAGATAGAACATCGAAAAAGAAAATCGATTTGCTTTTGCTCAGAATTTTCCGACGTGTTCTTCCATGGGTTTTCTGAAAAACTTCAGTTTTTATCAGCTCACATTACGATCCCTCGAAAAAATGGATCCAGCTAAAAATTTCACCACAGATACTTCAGACCTATCTAAGGTTCATTTTTTTTCTTTCCGAAAAATATCCTTTTCCTCTCGAGATATTCGAAAAATACTAAAAATCCCATATAAAAAATCGGTTTTTCATTTGAAAACCATCTCACGTCGAAAGTTGGAATCGAAAACGCTTAAAAATAAAACGAACCTGAGATAGAGTCTAAAGTATCAGTGGTAAAATTTTTTGCTCGATCGGACTATTTTTTCGAGGGGCCGTAATGCGAGCTGATTGAAGGGACTATCGAAAAACGCATAGTGAGAAAAACACATATTGTACACAGGGCTGTGTTTTTCAGGACATTTGCCGCGATGCTTATATTTCCACGAAATCTCATCAGAAAATTCTGGACGTCATCTCCTTTTGAAGAGTATACTTTCTTCTAACGTACTAAGTATAAGAAAAATTTTGAATATATAAAAAAGGAGAAAAAAAATGTACGAATCTAAAATTTTCCAGGCTTTGAATGAAAAACAACTTCATTGAAAGGGTACCAAATCAATCAGAATCACCCGTATATAGAGAGAATTCTCTGCATGAATGTACATGTAATAGGTACTTTAGAAGAAATTGTATTGTTGGTATTTTCGTCATTTCTTCCTTTTCTTCTATCGATTTGAGCTACTGCTTTTTGCAAAAATGCGCCTTGAAATACTCTACAAATCTTATCCAAACTATAATTTCAGCTTCAATCAAAAAACTAAGCTAATTAGGAGAAAGTCGAAAAAAATGAAAACTTTCCAAATTCAACATTTTTTTCTACTTGAACTTTTTCTTCTGCTACTATTCCCGCTAAAAAGTGTAGGAAAAGCGACACCTCAGTTTGTGTTTGGTGCTTTCAAATGTGTTCTTTCTCACGGTCTGTGAGCATTTTTTTAGAGTAGATGGCGTACTGGAGAACGAAGTTACAAAAATACGAAAAACTTTGAAGCGTAGCTAAAAGATAGAGCGAAGTCAGGACTACAAAATGGCTAATTCAGTTTTTCTTACGTTCAAAACGTTAACGGAAGAAATCATTTTTGAGTTTGAAAGGCTTTCATTTTATTCGACTTCCATCTAATTGGCTTAGTTTGTTTAATTGAAGTTCCGAAATTATAGTTTAGGTATGATTTGTAGAGTATTTCAAGGTGCATTTTTGCAAAAAGAAGTAGTTCAAATCGACAGAAGAAAAGGGAGAAATGACGAAAGTACCAGGAGGGCAATATCTTCTGAAGTACCCGCTACAAAGGTTGGAGAAACAGGGGTTACTCTCTAACAATACCATCTACATGCTGTTGTATTGTGGATGAGTTCATCGGCTAATGTTGACAATAATTCCGAGAGGTTCCGCACATCTAGAATATAGATGGGCTTATTAGGCTGTATTTTAAAAATATTTTACTGGAACCAGTAAACGCATCTGCTCTCAATTTATCAGGTAATTTTTCAAAGAAGATCATGCAATAGATCTAAACCTTGTTTCGTTACGCCTTCATATAGTATCACGCATGTAGCTTGCTGTACATATTTCCGATTTGTTAGTAGATAATGGATAAATACATTTTTGATCCCGGAAATTAAGCACAATCGATCCCGTGTACTAATTTTCGCGAAAAAATGCACAAATGATCCCGGTTTTCCTAATAATTTTTAATTAGTTATATAACAACACAACTGATCCCGGAAAAAGCTTTTTTTTTTCGCGAATAACATAATTGATCCTGGGAAATAAGCAAGTCATGGCACTGCACCGTCTTTCAACTGAGGCTCATTGATCAACTATGTGATCTCACTTTAACCATAGGATTTAACTGCACAAAACATTGATATTATGGAAAAGACAAAAGGACAGTAGAACAAAAGAAACAAAATAACCTAACAAAAAATATAATCGTATACGTATTTTAATTAATTTAACTTTCTGTAACGTCAACTGACCAGATATAGTTGACAGTTGAGAACGTCAACTGATAAATTACCGTTGACAGTTGAGAAGGTAAAAGTACACGGGATCGATTGTGCTTAATTTCCGGGATCAAAAATGTAAGTGTCCA